CGGAAGGATGGAAGGCTGAGTCAATCCTGAGCCGGTGAGATTTGAACAGCTGAATTGCAGATAACAGTCAGCTGAAGTAGCCTGCATTGCTGCATTTAACCACTGCGCCACCTCGGCTCTTATATACCCGCCCACCCTTTGGCCTCTGCTTCCCAGCAATTTGCCTCCTTGCAGCAAACAGCAAACAGCCTGTTTCAGTTTGCTTCAGCAGTCTGATTAGCACAAGCAGCTGATTGTTGGTTGGATCAGCCTCCCAACCATCAACTGTTTCAGGTTGCATGGATTGCCATTGCCTATTGCTGCCTCCGCACGCCTCATTTTCGGCCTCCACATCCCATTTTTGGCCTCCGCACCCCCCCATTTTCTGCCCATTCCAATCCCTGCTGCCCAGAATGGGTGGAAAATGGAGTGTGAGGAAGCCAAAAACGAAGTGTGCAGATGCTGAAAATGGGATGTGGAGGCTGAAAATAGGGTGTGCAGAGGTGACAATAGGCTATGGCAATCCCTGCAGCCTGAAACGTCGGGAGGCCGATCCAACTGACAATCAGCTGCTTGTGCTAATCAGGCTGTGCTGAAACTGAAACGGGCTGTTTGCTGTTTGCTGCAAGGAGGCAAATTGCTGGGAGAGGCAGATTGTTTTTTTCTTGTTTTCCTCCCCAAAAGGTAGATGGGTCTTATACTTTGGAGCATCTTATACTCCGAAAAATACGGTATTTTAATTCTTCAAAGAAAGTGTATTTTTGGCCTGTAACAAAGGAGAAAATATAAGTGGAATAGCTTCTTCAGCATTAAATAATCCCTTTCAACCAGTAACAGAATTGACAATAGTAACAGTTTTATATAACAATAGGATCTCTCCACCTGACTATAAATAGTACCTTCAAGAGTTCTTATTGTGCACATTTGGGTATAATTTCACTCAGCGGTCCCCAACCTTTCCGGTTTGGCGGTCCAGCAGGGGAGAAGGGTTGTTTCCATGCAAATGGCAGGCCCGTGCACTCTCATGCACAGCTCCATTTGTGGGAGTGGCAGGCGCAAATGCACAAACTGAGCTGCACATCCAAACGTGAGCACCTGCCGCTGGTGCAAGTGGACCTGCGTGCATATGCTCGCCCGCTGCTTGTATGGCCCATTTCCAAACAGGCCATGGTAGTAGGCCACAGCCCAGGGTTGGGGACCTCTGATTTAACTGTCTCTTCCTAAAAACCCCACCACATTAGAATACCCACCCACATATGCATGCTTACCTTAAGCTGAACTTTCACAAAGGCACAAACACCCACATAGAATTTGCCATTATTTAGATCAACAAAATCTACAAAAGGAGGAAGAAATAAGTCACACTAATGATTAAGGCAAGAAGCAGTAACAGAAATATATAAAACTTCAGGAGAGTTGTTTTTTTTTTAAGGACCTGTGGTAGCCTTTATTTTTGAAAAGAAAACTAAGGCCAAACACAGTATAAATTATATAAAAAGGAAGCAAGAAAACACACTTAACGAAAAATTAAATTCAACGGTGCCTGATAATTTTCATTGTTAAAATAAACAGCTATTTATGGTTAGCACGTATTGAATATAAGATGCCATATTTGGGGGAAACAAACCCTCTATAAATATTGTTCTGTGTTAATTAGAAGTACCAAAGAAGCTTTGCTTGGAACTGTATCATATATCAGTGCTTGACCTTTCCTAATAGACTACTACAGCAAAAAGTAAAAGGATATATTCAGGTAGAATGATGAATGCACCCTGTTTTGTGTTGTTAAAACAGAGGCAGAGGCGTGAGGGACAGGCAGGCGATCTGGATGCACAGACCGTGGGAAAGCCGAGCGGTGGTGGGGCTGAGCGGCAGATTTCATGTCTCTTGGGTTGCTGGCAGCCTGTGTGGCGTGCCGGCATCGCCCGCCTTCTGCTGTGCCTTCCGCTCTGCGCAGCTCCTGAGTGCGCCAACTAAGGGACCAGCGGACTAAAGCTGCTGCTGGATGCCATAAGTCCCCCGCGTGCTTGCTGGCTCTGGTGTGAGCGCCAGAGGGCGGGGCACCCAGCCAGGCCGATCACCCTAAAAATCTTGTTTCCTTGAAAATAAGCCCTAGTGTGTATTTTGGGGCCCAAAAGAAAATAAGTCCGGGCCTTATTTTTGGGGAAACACGGTAGTTCTTTACTTACAAGCTACCAATTTCAAAAAGTGTAAAGTATTGCAGGTGACAGAGGCAGGAGATGGAGAGAAACAATCATAGGACTGATAACCCAGGAGGCAGTGATCACCGATAATAAAAATGCAACAGTGTCAGGGTTCCAAATAGCATCCAAAATCAGAGTCCAAGGCAACGTATTGCTCAAAGTTCCAATTTATTAACAGAGCCATTTTGGCACATCTGGGAAAACCCGAATCTGAAAGCTTCATGTTTTTCCCCACCTAGTTGAAAGTTCAAGATCTTGCCCCCACACCTCCAAGTCCATCCCATGTCCAGTCTCCCACTGACTGCCATGCTGGCAGTTCCACCCATCCAATTCCGGTCAGGTGCAGAGGTGCAAAGACAAAGGATGACCTTGGCTTTCAAGAAAGAATTTTGTTATGGCTACAAGACATCTCATTCCTGCAATCCTAACCCTCCCATTTCCCCACAATATAAAACGCATAGCAGAATAATAGAAAGTGTGGCAGACCAAAGATCTGAAAGAAAAGATGGCTGCAGGCCTGACAAACAGAATTCAAGATTTGAGAATATTGTACAAACTGGATCTGGCCACGCAGGGAACAATTTTAAACATCTATCAAATTAGAAAAACAAATAATAAATAAATATGGGTGCTTGAGAGGACTAGCAAAAGACACATTAAAAACTGTAACTAGTAGAATAACAGGCTATTGTGGTGATTTCACTTAAGAGGTAAGAGAACTACAACAGAGATAAGCAAATCTGCTTTCTGGCTGGGAAATACAATCTAAAACGATGAATAGGCATCAATTTTATTTGAGGTTTTAATTAAGGTTTTATTTAACGTATTTAAGGTTGACTCAGCCTTCCATCCTTCCAAGGTGGGTAAAATGAGGACCCAGATTGTTGGGGGCAATAGGTTGACTCTGTAAACCGCTTAGAGAGGGCTGTAAAGCACTGTAAAGCGGTATATAAGTTTAAGTGCTATTCCTATTTTATATGCAAACTAACTCCAAAAATTCTTGGCCACCCTCGTACTTCAAGGTCTCAAGTTGCCTAAGGAAGAGAGGCAATTCTATAATTCGTCATAATATTTCTCATGCTCTTCTACAATGGATTGTTATCAGGAACACACGGAAAATGAAAAAAAAAACCTGCTTCCTAATTTTCTTTACGTGAAATCTTATTACCAGTTCAAAAAAGCTTCCATGAACAGAGCAGTATTGCGAATTCCGCAGCCTTTTCTTTTACATTTTATTAGCATTGCCTTTACGGTGGGAATATTTTTCCCACATTTTCAACCAAAACAAGTTCTTATTGGACTCACCAACGTTCTGCTGAGTGACAGAATGAGCCCAGCCATTATATCCAAACATTTCATTGGCCAGGCTGATGACTCTGTGCCCCTCTATGTAGCAAACCTGAGAGCAAAAAGAAAGGAAATACGTTTTGCTGTAGACTATCAAATATCCATTTTTATCTCATACTAATACATAACATGGCGTTGCCTGGGTATTTATAGGGGGAAAATGTCTGGATCAAATTATAATTTCTAATGTTGGATTTTCCCCCTTACCAAAGGGAATCCCCTTGTGGAGTATGTGAAGCCGTTACCATGGCAACTCCACTGCACTGTACAGTAGAAACCATTTTACGGCAGTACAGTAGAAGCCATTTTAAGGCACAACAGGCTGTATCTTAACAGAACACACACACACGAGGGGTGTTAAAGGTGTCTTACCCCCCACAGTATTTGTCTCTAGAGAGTAAGTCATCTGTGTACCAAGTTTAGTTGAGATTGTTTGAGGTGCTCCAGAGTTATTCTGGAACACACACACACACACACATCCATTTATATATATATAGATTCAAGATTCAAGAAGGATCTATAGTTATGTAATATACACAGTTTCTAACTATATTACTATATTCTAACTATATTATGTCTCTAGAGAGTAAGTCATCTGTGTACCAAGTTTGGTTGAGATTGCTTGAGGTGTTCCAGAGTTATTCTGGAACACACACAAACACACACATTTTTTTATAAATAGAGATTCAAGATTCAAGAAGGATCTATAGTTATGAAATATACATAGTTTCTAACTATATTACTATATTCTAACTATATTATGACATAAGCAGATAACAAAATACGTTTAATGGGATTTACTTTTTATGTTTACCAACTTGGAGACATTGTTTTCACGTAAATAGCTCTCTACATAAGAGCTATACATAAATATTAAAGTGATCAGATGGACTCTATTTCAGGAGGAGAAAGCTGGTAATATCTCAAAATCTAGGCCACAGTGTGGGATGGGATATGTAGGCAGCAAGGGTGGGATTGAGCATTACATGCGTCATACGCCTTTAAATGTGTGAAAAGCTGTCGGAAGATTCAGTGCCACAGAACGAGAGATCCCTTGTAAAGCTAATTGGGCAAAACAGGCAGTCCTGGACTTACAACAGTTCACTTAGTGACCATTCAAAGTTACAATGGCACTGGAAAAAGTGACTCATGACCATTTTTCACACGCAGCATCCCGAAGGTCACACGATTGATATTCGGATGCTTGACAACTGACTCATATTTATGACGGTTGCAGTGACCCCCTTTTGCAACCTTCTGGCAAGCAAAGTCCATGGGGAAACCAGAGCCACTTAACAACCGTGTCACTCATTTAACAACCACAATGATTCACTTAACAAATGTGGGAAGAAAAATAGTAAAACGGGGCAAAACCCACTTAACGAATTTCTCCCTTAGCAACATGAATTTTGGGCTCAATTGTAAGTTGGCCGTAAGTCAAGGACTCCCTGTACACACAACATATAATATTGCAATAAAAACCTGGTGTTTTTAGAGCCATTTTGCCCAGGATTATGTTTATTTTTCTCTTGAAATCTCTAGTCCAGCGATTCTAATTTGACAACCTGAAGGTTAGTACTGAATTTCAACAATCTGGTTTGGTGGTACTAGCTGTTGACAGCTATATAGTACATGTTTTTTTTTTTTAAGTGTTAACGCATCTTAACAGGCTACTCCAAGCCTGTCAGGTTCACAACTCTGGGGTTAAAAGGATGCTTTTCAGTATAAAGTAAAGTAAAGCTCTAATCTCTAATTTGTACCTTCTGTCCTCCTCCAGCTTGTCGGCTACTGATGTATTCTGGGCCCAGCCTCTGCCGCAGAGCCGCCTGAACAGCCTGGTATTCATCTGCTGTGTACTGGCACTTCACAAACACAAAAACCAACAGATTTAGCCACCTTTCTGCCTTCTTGCCTCTTCTGGTTGTTTCCATTTCAAGATTTA